TCACAACCAGAAACTAATCACGAGTTGAATAGGCTTGCCACTTCCATTTCATAACATAAAATGTGGGGGTAACCACACGTTTTTTAAAGTTATTGATCTTTTTTGAAACTTTGACGGTGCCCGCTACATTTTTTCCTGTCACCTCCCCTGTAAGTAAAACATTTGCATATTTTGCAATTGTTTTGCACGTGCACTACACCATCTGCAGGTACATGTTTACAGTTGGATTTCAGTGTAATTTTCGACAGATAACAGATAGGTTTTCAGCTAGAAGACGTTAACATTATTTTAGTGGTTAGCGATATGCTGCTATTTTGGTGTTCCTGGTTTAAGCACTGGTTCATTAAACTTGATTTGGTCACAGTAGAAAAATTTTGCTTTCTTGTAGTCGTATACTTGGTAGTGTAGTTGATTGCATCAATGTCAACCCCAGTGCGCGCATGGTGCTTAAACCATGCCTTGCGTGATGCGCACTAACAAATGTAGGCACCATCCTTAAGTGAGGCTAATAAATGTTTGATATATTTATCAGTTTGATATACATTGTATTATTTAGTAATTAAATTTATGAGTAATTATCAGCCTATCAATTTTGACTTTGGATAGTCTGAACTTTAATAATTATTGCACAATTTTTAAACAGGAGGAAAAGAAGAAAATTTTAAATCCCAGATAAACTCTTTCTCCTTTTAAAATTTGTGTAAAATACCAGTATGTAGACCAAGGTAACTTACTACCAGTACATGTAAATAATAGTCTTCCTAGTCATTGATCAAGTGTAACCCAACCAATTTTATTACAACAGATTGTGCAGAATCACCATTTCAACACATCCTTCCTAAAAGCAAGCTGGCAAGAGACTTACAAGATGTATTCAAAAGGTTTGTTGATCACAATCAAGTAAAATGTGGGGAAAATAGAGAGACAAAAAGTGAAGCTTTCATCAAGGATCTTCTAAATTCTTAATACCCTGGCTAATGAAAGTAATTAATAAGGATTTTTACAATTCAAAGATCCTCAAGGATTTTGACAATTCTTGCCAGGATCCTCAAGGTTTTTTTAAGGGTTGTGTCAAGGAAATTTCCTTAGACATCTGCTAAAAATCTTATTTTGTGGAAGTGTAGCAGTGCCTGGAAGCTTTCCACTTTGTCATCCTATTTGTCTTCATAATGTTGTAGGAATGTTGCTCCCAGTGTCTCTCTTCTTTGTGCATCTCTCTTGCTCTTGACAGGGGTGGGCAGGGGAGGGGCGTGGAGAGGAAGAGAGACCTGGGAATGAGGTTAGTGTAGCAGATGTTTTTGTTTTGGGGTTCATTGTTTCTGTTGTTTGTTCCCAAAGGGTTTCAAGCCAATCATGTGGGTCTTTGCAAAAACCCAACTGTTATCATGTCAGGATTCAGGATTCTTAAAAAAAATTCAGAAAGATCCTTGGATATTTCCTGTGCAAGGTTTTTCCCCAGGGTTATCTTACAGTGCTTTCAGTTTACAATGTTACGACCCAGTGAATCATCAATCAGAGCCTGACATATGTATTTTTCATTTCTTTTGTTCTTGTTTTCTTCAGCTTGTGTGCTACTGGATCTGTGCGCCTTAAAATCAATGGCTGGGTGAACGTAAGCTTCTGTCTTCCTCACAAAGTTCACAACTTGAATCAGGGATCAATTCACATCAAGGTAAGTTTTTTGCAGAGAAGGGGCATCTTAAACAGAAATGCTCAGAGATAATTTACAATATGCAAGAATCTGACAGGCTGGGTAGGGTAGAATTCTCATCAGGAAATTGTCATCCAGTGCTTTAAAGAAATTTAAATCATATTGAGCCTGATCAAGTTAAATCACGTAAGGGGGAAATGATGGTGTTTTGTTTTATTTCTTCCCGTGAAAGATAGTGATGGCTAAAAACACTGATACTCAGGTAAAGCACAGTTTTCACCACACGCGGTTCCGTAAGGAAAGGGTTACATTGCATTACAAACCTGCATCAGCTGTATAATTTTATATATTATAGATTGTGGTATACAATGTAGTTGTAATATACTCTACATTAATGGAACAATTAAACTTAACAATAAACTTGACTTTAAAAAATAACCAACAAGGCTTTTTTTTTTCAGCCCGAAACCATACATAAGTCGCTTGCGGCCATCAGGTTTGTCTTGATCTGTTTGTTGTTGTTGTTAATTGTTAATTGTTTATCTTCATCTTGTACTGGTTCAGAGAAAGTTTCTACAGAGGAACAGTACGTTTCAAGATTTACTGGTTTTTGAAAAGCAGTGTAGCCTACAGACTCACTGAATGAACTAAAGTACTTTGTTCTTTCTCTCTGCAGGCCGTACCACACGCTTCTAT